TCGTCCGTGGGAATTGAACCTTAGACCTGCCACTTGGGGGTTGACAACCTATCCACTTCACTAGGTCGCCACACCCCATTGTTTACTGATAATTAAAATTTGCTTCTTATTATATTAATTTGATTTATTATTGCTTAAAGTATAATGCAAAAGGATATAGAGAGCTGCACTAAAAAAACTATATATGATATTAGAATATATAATCATTTTAACTTATTATAAAAGACTTAGTATGATTTATTAAAGTACTAGTTTTAATTAGTAGAAAAAAACTATTATTATTGTACTTTGCAGACCAATAAAAAAAAAGTAATTATATATTATATATATATATATAAGGTTATTTTTTTTAACTATAATTTTTGAAACAATAGTGTGTGAAATCAAAAATTTTGTACTTATCTATTATTCATATTATATAATTAACAAATTTGTGAGATAAATATAATTCAAACCTCAATTACTTTCTTTTTTTTACTAATCAGTGCATTTTTTCTAAACTTGTATTAAAAGAGAACAAAAAAAATTTCAAAATTAATGTTAGACATAAAATGCAGATTAATTTTGTGTAAAATTATAACTTTTTTTTATCATACTCATAGACATGCTTATTCAATTCAAATAATTAATCAAAATATTATTAAAATCATCATACACTTTTTATCTTTAATTATATATATACTGTATATATATATATATATAAGATATTATAATAATAATAATAATAATAATAATCTAGATATTATATACTAATGTATTATTAATGTAATAATTTTCATAATCTAGATTACAAAAACTGATTAAATAATAAGTCAATAGGTCTTAAGATAGTAGGTAATATCCAAGTTGTTCAAGTACTTTGTTTTTCAATTCTATCAGGTTAACATATGAGTACACCTTTAAAAAATCTTTTAATATACTATATTTTTAGTACAATTGTTTAAATTTAAGCTAACTGGTTCAAGAAAAATCTACAACTTATGATATGTAGTTACACATGAACATGCAATATACAATTGTTTATGTAAGAATACTGGCTTAGGAAGATAAACTCCAAGCCTATTTATTGTCTGTTTTTGGGATTTATAAATGGACATAGCAAAGCCAAGTTAACATGAAAACTAATGATGTTTAAAAACAAATGATAAAGATGAATTTGTTAGTAATAATTCAACATGTGGTAAAAACACTCTTTTTTTTTTAAATGAACTACTAACATGTTCTACTTCAATAACATTATTTTGTAGTATCCTTCAGATAAGCCATGTGCTATTACAGAGATCTTCACTTGCATTAATATTATAAAGTAATATAATAGAAGATTCTACTTTTAACATTAATGCATAAGGTGGTAATTTACTAAGCATTAATGAGTTGAGGTATTTAGTTGAGTAAATATCTTTATAAGCTAAATTATATATAGCTAAGGTTTGATCTAGAACATTTGCACTATAGTAAGTTTTTGCTTTTTTAGAAAATTGCAAAAAAATTTTAGTATTGAGCATATTGACTTCAGAATTATATAGCACTAGGATACTTTTTTCTACTATATATGTTGGGTCATGTGCATATATTTGCAAGGCAGAATATATAAAATCGATCAGTTTCTGATATGATTCATCATGTATTATAATATTTAAAGAAAGATTTATATAACTACTATTTGGAGCAACTTCAGCAATTTGGTCTTCACCAATCATCATTAGCCAATTTGCAAACTCTTATTGCATAGTAGCATTTGAAGCATCTATAGATAATGCTGTATGTAAGTGCATGTTGATGGTTAACTTCCTTATTTTAACATGTTTTCATAAATATGGACAACAAAAACAGGCATTAATAATATCTTTATATCTACCTTTAAGATTACTGAAAGAATCTACCAAAAATCATCACTAAAAGCAAACACTTTATCACAAATGGTAAGTTTTCAAAGTGCTAATCAATAGGATCTATAATATTTCTTAAGAAGCAGTCAACAGCTTCAAATGCATGGTGATGCATTATAAAAACCTTATTCTAAATAAAAGGTGTTGCCTGTCTTAAGAGCTCAGCATAATTAGTATTTACAGATATATTGTATGTTAAATCTTCATGTAACTCTATAGGAATTTTAATCTGTGAATATACTATACAGTCTTTATCTAGTAGTAAGGTAGTAATTTCAGAAAAAGCAACTGCTAAAGCAATATTTCTAGTCGAACACACTTTAACTAAAAGATTATTATAGAGAAAAGTTTTGCCAATTCCTTAGGTCTATCTATAAAAAAACATGCTGAATTATTATGTTCTATTGCTTGCATTATTTTATTAAAGATAGCCAGCTAGCCCTTATTTAAATAATTGGTATTTAGTTCAATGAACTCAGTAAGGGTTTGTATATTATAATTCAACTTCTCATTAATTAACTCATTTCTAAATTCATATACAGAATCTGGCAAAGACATATTTGGAAAGTCTTTTAATGTTTTATTTTGTTGTAAAAGAATATTTTCTAGTTTATTTAATGCATCATTTTCAATCTTATGTTCAGTTAATGTAAATTATAATTCTGTAAGTGATATATTACATCTTTAGTAAAAGCCACAATGTGTTTTGCCCACAGATGCTCTGGTTCATTAGGTTGGTAGTTAATTAAAATAATTGCAAATAAATGATGAAATTGATGCCCTGATCATATTTTTGCAACTTCCTTTAAACAATGATCTTATTCAAGATTATCTTGTAATAGATCTAAAACATGGTAAGCATTTTAAAAGTTGTATGAACAAACTCATTTACTGTTCTCAAATGCTTAAAAGATTGTACTTCACATATAGTACATAACAATAGTTGCAAGTAAAAATGCTTATCTGCTTCAAGATATACAAAAAACATATAACTAATCATATTGTTTTGGATATGTAATTTTTATTTTTTAGTATTTTTATTAAAAACAAATGCCTAAGGAAATTAAGCATATGTGTATTCACTTGCTAATAAAGCTAGCATTGGATCTCTGTTAACTTCAAACTATGCTGTTAATATGGTTTTTTTATTTTGTGCATGTTGTACAATAGCTTCAAGTGAGTTATTATCAGAAAAAGTAATCATGTGCTGTCCAGGTAGATGAACTACTAAGCATATAATGTCAGGAACTTTATTATGCATTTTGTAGTACATTATTTGCCAAAATGACTCAGATGCTAATATATAATAGGCATCAATATATTGCTAAATTTCATCAATTACTTCTACAATAGATGTATCTATGTTGTTATTACTACTAATCGCTACAATAGCCCTATCATGCCTTTATATACATATTTAAAAAGATATTTGATTGCATAAATTGAAAAGCAAATTTCTACATTTATATGACATTGATACTTTTTGCATAGATAAAGATTATATGACAGAAGCAACTCTTTCCATAGATCACTTATACCAAAAAACACAAAAACACATTTAATTATTTCTTAACATTTTAATAATTAAATCTTACTTGACCTCTTAAATAAAGTTGTTCAGCACACTTTTTCACTTCTAGGCAGCTGTGTTTTAAGTTCTAATAACACTTGAGTGTTAGAAAAAGTTTCAAAAACCATATTTTTATATTTTGTCTATTTACTCAATATTTTACTACTTAAATCTATCAAATTGCCTATTCAAAAGCTGTTCAGCTCACTGAGTCGGACATTTTGATATATATATTGTTCAAAACAGACCAAAACTCATAGAGATACAAGTAAAAAGCAAAAATAAAAACTTGTTCTTTACAGGTTTTTTTATTGGCAATTTTAGAAAAATTTGCTAGGGTGCCCCAGTAATTTCACTTTTCTGGTACTCATTAGAATTTTCTAAACATCCAATCAGCTTATCTGAAGCTTAAACCTTTTTTCAAACTTTCCTAATTAGTCTGAAAACCTTTAAATTAAACAAATTTTTCAAAAAACATACTTAGAAATCTATTTTTAGAAAAAAAATGCTGACTTTGTTTACAACCACACCAGATACCATCAATCTTAACTATTTTTACCAGAAGTGTCCTAAAAGCTTCGAAATTGGTATCTATGAGAATGCAGCACATACATCATGTCCTATTCCTGTAAACAAACAACCAAATAATTGTATTCATACTGAACTTGAGGTAGCATTAAAAATAGTCACCACTTCAAAGCACCAGAATCAAGCACCATTATTACTTGCTTCTGTGGCAAGTACCACACTCATTTTATATTAATAACTAACCAAACCTATAAACAACATGAAATGATCTCTATTATTAGAAAACCTAGAAATAAAAAAATCCTTATAAATAACATTGCAAACTCTACCGAATTTGTTCCACTATCACCTACAGCATCTCCTTCACCTACTACACATAACCACCTTTGTGCCAAATGTAACTTACCTATTGTCTGCAAAGAAATGAACAACTAACATTACTTGGCATCTGATGCTATTTTATATAAAAACAAACCTTATCATAAAACCTGTACAGAAATCCAACAACCTATTCAACAATCAGGTTTTTTCTCAACATTCATTCAAAAACTTCAACAATCAATTAGATCTTATAATCTTCTAGCATCTGAACTTACCTTCACCACCTTACCTACAGGTACTACTAGCAACACAAATGACATAGACATAGATAATAACATAATTAATAGCAATAATTAGCAACAACAACTACATCAACATCAATTACATCTTAACGAACAACAGCAACAGCAACAGCAGCCAAACCAACAACAACAACTACAAACACAAACAAATACTACCAATAATCAACCTAAAATTAAAGCAAATCCAACATTTAATTGGCTTGCTAATTTCCCAATTTCTGATGACATGAAAGACAAGTTGCAACTTCAAACAGAATTTTCTCAAAAAATCCTCAACTTTCTTAAATCTTATCTGTATGACTTCTATTCTGGAAAAGAAATTAAACCTGAAACTTCTAAGCAAAAAGCTCTTAAGGCCAGCTTCTACCATATTATTCATAAAATGGCAGAAGACAGACCTCAATTTTTTATTAAATTTATTCAACAAACAAATCCCAATATTGACAAAGCTATTACTATCCTATTTGACATATTGGAAGAAACTCTTAAAAAACTTATTCTTGCCTTCACTACAATCTTATTTACAAAACTCAATTATT